TTTATGTACACTTTTGCCAATATAGAGAATTTTTTTCATCACTTTTTATGTCCTGAACAGGGTTTGTGACGATGTTTGTAACACCCAGAAGGAAGTGTTGGAGATCCTATAAAGTATATATAAGATATAGTTTTGAAATTTTGAAAACGTCATTTTCTCTTCAAGACGCTGCTCATTTGTCGGAAATACCGATATCGAAAGACTACCATCCATCGGAAACAAGTTCTTGTATGGAAAACTTTCACATTTGACAATGCATTTTCACAAAAGTTGGCACAGCTTATTTTCTAAGATAATTATGTAATATACGAAGAAATTGTTTATATCGGGTCACTATAGCATAAAGCTGCCATATAAACCGAACGATCGGAATCAGGGGCTTGTATGGAAAACTTTCGCATTTGACGTGGTATCTCCACGAAATTTGACATGGATTACTGCTTAAGGTAATAATATAGTCTCCGCAAAAATTGTTCAGACCGGATTACTATAGCATATAGATTCAATACAAACTTGACAAATAGTTACTAAAAGAAATGTACCTCTGAAGCGTATATTAGCTTCGGTGCGCCCGAAGTTAACGTTTTTTCTTGTTTAGTTCATACATTTTACTCGCGTTTTTCTCAAAACTACTTTTTCAAAGTCCGTGTTCACTGTCATTTAAAAACTACTTAACTGATTAATTTCAAACTTTACACACATTTTTTTAAACATACAATATCGTTTTTTTCAATTTTTTTTTTTATTAAAGCTATTTTCCACCCACAAAATGGCGGAATTTTTTAATGGAAGTTAGCAATTTTCAATTTAAATAAAAAAAAATAATATCAAAGAACGTTGGGACGAAGATTTGATTATAAGTTGACTAATTTTTCTTAGTTTTTTATTTTCGGATAATTCTCAGTCGAGTTGTGGTGAACACCGCAAACTGTTCTATCTCAAGACGTTCTGAAAGAAGCTTTATTTCCGGCTCATGCTTCAATATTTCAATTAAAAAAAATTACTCAATCCATATTTAAGAAATAGATTCGCAAAAAATGTCTTTTTTTACCTTAAAACCTTAATTGAACTGATTGAAACACAACAACATTTTTTGTCATTTACTTATTATTAACACACAAAATGCTTTATGACTTACACTAACAAAAGTTGCTTCACAAAAATGCTATATCTTATTAGATAACTAATTATTATAATCTAACTCAGAGGAATCACATAGATATCTATGAATGCGTCAGCCACAGTAAAGCGTGGTTTGTTTAATTGGGAAGTGTACGTTAAGCTTTTCAGTAACCTATTTGTAAATTTCGGAGAACAGCGTACACAATTGCATTTTTGACAAACACTTTGAACGAATGAGGAATGTAAATTGTGGATGGAATGACCAATATTTAATATAATGAAATGCACAATATTGTGAATATACTAAAAATAGCTTTTGAAAATAATAAGCATGGATTGAGTTTACTTGTTAAAGTTATGAAATTTAATGTAGGCGACTACATGTTTATGGCAAACATGTTTACAAGAATGTTGGTCCCATAGCTGATAATTTTTTTACTCTAATGAGTTTAGTGAAAGGCATAAATTAAACGATAAATATATAAAGATATTTTATCTCATATGATACCATTCAGAATCCAGAGTGAAACTGTTATAAACAAGTCTGTCTGGCTAAGCTAACCACTTTTAAATAAGTCGAGCAAAGCAATAAGGCTTGCAAATAATTGAAAGCATACATTACAACAATATAAATCAAGCCTTTCTGTGGTAAGGCAGTTCAAGTCACATGAAAGAGAAATACAAAAGTAAGGTCGTTAAAAAAGATCACCGTAATTTTTTCCTACTAGAAGCCAATACCGGCTATAGATCACCCCGCTATGCTGTGAGTAGTCGCTCCCATAACCATTAACATCGTCCTGGTATAGAGACCGCATAAGGTCATTATATTTGTAAATAACCTAATCTTAGGCATTCACAACTAATTTAACCTACAAAAAGCTGACCTAACAATTAGAAATCTACCCCAAAACCAGGTTCCTAGTCTATAAATATGTATTCATTATAATTCGTTCAGTTTTCCCTTACTAAAGAAATTAAGAACAAGGTATTGTATATCAAAAATAAAAGACATAATTCTTAGTACAACCGTAAGGCTGAGATCAGGCTACTACCGGGGTCACAGCTGGCGGATACTGGACTGGCTACGCTAAGTAGGTTGGCTGCGAATAGTAATACGCAGCCCCCGACCAAGAGCTGCAGGAGAGGACTGCTTGGCTCAAAACGCCTCACGCGCCTAATAAACCTCCCACGAAGAGGCGAGAAGATGCCGTCTTAAAATAAGCGTCAACAACCCTCACCTACCAAAGAGAGGGAGGCAGCAAAGCGACGAGGAAACAGAAGACGACGAAAGACCTTGGGCAAGAGCCCATCAGAATTGAGACCAGTAAAATTCTGATTATGGTGTACTGGAAAACCGATACCGATCAGATTGATAGGAGTGACATCTTACTGAAATGGCTTGCATGCTAATACTGCTCTCACCTCCGTCTCGTTAAAACCATGGCAGGTCTTCAAGTACGTTCAATGCACGTCGCCAAAACTTCTTGGCCGTACAGGCTCAGTTGAGACGAGCTCCTGATTCGTGCCCGAACCTGGCTCTGAACATAAGCTCCCATAAGGACTTATATCAACCCTCGCGTGACCTCCCTACTTGCATAGATAACCACGGGGTTAATTAAGACCCGCTGTTACAACAAGCGGAGACCCCCTAGAAAAAAATCAACACACCACAACAACAACAAAAAACCCAACAGAAAGAAAATCAGAACAAAGCTGGTCAAGAAGAGGAATACGGGACAGTCTTCCGTAGAAGCAGTAGGGTACTCAGATCCCCCGTACTCGTCGCCACTCCAAAACAGCCAGACAAAAATGGAGAAAAGACAGCCTCAAGGGAGAATCCGGTCACACCACCAGCACCGGAAAAACAAGGAGAAGGGAAGCCACTAAAGAAGGAATTCCAAACTTTCCGAAACAAGAGTATGTAACCCAAATGAGACTAGTAGAAAAGGAATCTCTAGAAAAGTACAACGGTTTAGTGCAAAAAATGAAGTTGGCGTTCGCAAAACAAAAGAACGCCAGCATGGACGTCAAGCATGGAACGGCACAGCTAGACGAACTCTTCGACGTCATAAAGAGCTATCACAGAAACTGGCTCACTGCAGAAAACGAATAAAGGCGAGCACATCTATGCAGACGCATCACGACCCCCGAGTCAGCAACCTCGAAGCGCCGTACGACAAGCTCTGTGGAGCCGCGAGAAACAGTGCGACCACGACACGAAAACGACGGCCGGTGGCAAGAAGTTTTGCCTAAGAAACCGAGAAAGACCTAAGTAAACGAAGGAACGAGGGAAAAAGCGCCCCAAAACGCAAACAAGACTCAACAAGTGAACAACGTCACTGCAAGTCTGAAAGGACATAATAGGCCTAAACGACAAACATAGGCCGTTATAATAAATCCAGCAGAAGGAATATCCGTAGTAAGGTAGATCTTAAGGAAGCAGAAAACAAGAGCCGGGGCCTATTAATAGAGTCCATATAGACCAGCTTCTGTGAGGCACTTAAGTCCACTCTTAAAGAGACTGCAACTGTGGCCGACCTTAAAATTAAGGCTGCCATAGAGATCAGAAACCTCGACTCGCTCACAACAAAAGAGGAAGTAGCATGGCCTGTGAAAGAAGCGCTACAGGACCCCAATAAAGACTTATCAATTAATATAACAGCTCCTAACAAAAGAGAGCAGGTAAGGGCATACATAACGCTGGACCAGGATAGGGCAGACACACTGATGCGACAAAATTGGCTGGGAAACCCCCAAAAGGTGCTTCCGTTGCTTCGAACTAGGGCACTTAATCTGGAACTGCAAAGGGCCCGATAGAGAAGCACAAGGGGTTTGCATAAAATGCGGCCAACAAGGGCACAAATTGAAGAGGCTAAACACGAAAAAGCCGATCACTTCCCGGGCTCCGCAAAATGAACGGTATATAGGAACTACCGAAACAGATGAAGATCCTTCAAGCCAACATGCATAGATGCAAGGTCACTGACGCCTTGCTCCCGGAAATGGTGATGGAGAACGACTACGAGATAATTATCATAAGCGACCAATACAAAAAGAAGTAGAATGGTACATGCTATATGGTTACCACCAGAGAGTAACGCCACCGCTGTAAGTAAGGGGAACGGCAACGGTTTCGTCTGGACCAAGTGCGACCTTTTTACAGTAATTAGCTGCTACTTGACGCCAAACGATAGTATACAGGAATTCCAAGAAAAGCTCGACATAATAGAGGAAACAGCCAGGACTATAGAAGGTCAATTGATTATCGACAAAGACCTAAACTCCAGAGCCATAGAGTGGGGTATGCCAAACACTGATTCGAGAGGAAAGCGAATTTTAGAAATGGCTGCGCGGCAAGGTCTAATAGTGATCAATACGGGAAATGCAACCACGTTCGGAAGACCGCTATGCGAGGAAACCACACCAGACATCACCCTATAAACAGAACGCATGGCATGCTCAATAAATAATTGAAAAGTCCTGGAGGATTACACTGGCAGCAATCATCACTACATCTCTTTCTTGATCAACACTGGAGGAAACGGCTGCCAGCTCAGAAAAAATAGTGGAACGCGAAAGTAGAATATCTCGAAACTAGACACATCGCAATTAATCGCCGCAATAGACGAGCAGAACCCATCTAGCGACCCCTCTCTTATAGCAAGAAAAACAGTTGAGTACAGAATGCTTAATATAACTAAAGCCTGCCAAAAATCAATGCCCAAGGCTTCCCACAGCAAACGTAGAGCAGCAGTTTACTGGTGGACTGAAAATATCGCCCAACTCAGACGCACATGCCTCCGCCTTCGCAGATCCTACACGAGATCCATGCGCAGAGGAGACGCACCCCAAGAAACCGAGCATTACAGAGCAGCAAAATGGAGCTGAAGCACGCCATCGACGACAGTAAAAAGACAAAATGGGAGGAACTACGGGAAGATATAAACAGAGACCCCTGGGCGCTAGGGTATAAAATAGTGATGAAAAAATTTGGCGCTCGAGCAAAGCCACCTGACATAACCGCTGCCAAAATGGATCACATCGTGAGTGCACTATTCCCTACACACGAAATAAAGGCCAGGAATCCAGAACAAATTCTATGTACTGCGCAAATCCCTCAATTCACCCTTGAAGAGCTGCAAGTAGCCACTGGCAAGCTCATGACCAACAAATTACCCGGCGCGGACGGGATCCCAGCAGAAGTCCTCAAAATAATCGCAGCAGAGCGCCCAGGAGTACTACTGAATATGTACAACGCCTGCCTTGAAGCCGGAATATTCCCTGAACCCTGGAAAAAGCAACGGCTGGTACTAATCAGTAAGGGAAAATACGCCATCAGCATACCGTCCATTATGCATGCTTGACACAGCGGAAAAGCGGTACGAAAGCCTACTTAAATCCAGACTCAAAGCAGCTATCAACGAAGCTGGAGGACTGTCCCCTAGACAACACGGCTTTAGACCCGGCAGATCAACCATATTAGCTATAAAATGCGTCATAGAAAGCATAGAAGCCCCGCAGCGCAGATGGCATAATTACAAAAGAATAGTATTGCTGGCGACTCTAGACGTCCGAAAAGTAATGCGGATGACATTGCAGCAGTAATCACAGCCAGGGATACAGAAGAAGTGCGAAAAAAGCTGAGCCAGCTCAGATGATACGGACACAAGCATTGCTTGAGACACACAACCTCCAGCTCGCTACGAAGAAAACAGAGTTACTACTGCTACCAAAAAAGCACATACCTCTCGAGATAAGCATGCACCCGACTACGGATGTCCTTAGGACACAAAAACCAGTAAACTACCTAGGCGTAAGACTGGACCCCAGACTAACATTCTGGGTACAAATCGAGCACGCCGCAGGAAAGGCAGCGAAGATCACTTCTCAACTGAGCCGATTAATGGCTAGCATAGGAGGCCCCAGCCAAGAAAAGAGAAAGCTTTTAATGTAGACGACATTTGGGCAGACGCGCTTAAAAAGGAAAACTGGCATAAGGCAGTTTGCAGAGTATACCGCACCGCAGCCCTCAGAGTTCAATCAGCCTACAGAACAGTATCAGGCGACGCAATATTAGTTATAATCGGCAATGCTCCAATCGACCTTCTAGCATACGAAAGGAAAAAACTGTGGGAGCTAAAGAATCACCCGGCAATAACAAGAGCGCAATACAACAAATAAGGAAAGATACGATAATATCAGGGGGAAAGGGATGTTAAACTTATTCCAGTGTGAGAGCTCCTCAAAATTAGCGTTTTTTATAACATTTTCCATTATGGCCAGATTGGACAAAATAACAATTTTTGGGCATTTAAATTAAAACAAGCAACATTTAGTACGAATAAAAATTATTATATAGTGGTTATTTATTATATGGAGAAACTATTTAAATTTTTTTAAAGTATATTAGAACAACCGACTT